TTTGTGAGTGGTCATTTTTGTAGGCAACAAATGTTTTTTGTTTTTGTTTTTTTAAATAAAAAATGAAGAGCACCATTAAAGAAAGCATGATCCCTGATTTCTAAAGAAAACACTGTCTTTAAAAAAAAATTGTTAAAATGCTTCTTGCACTCAGTCACATTTAGTCAGGTAACAAAGCAAGCATAACAGTATTAAATTGTAGCAACCCCACTGAAATCAACTACTCCCCCTTCCGAGGATTCAGAGAACCATTTCTGAGCTTGTCCTGTGGGAATAATGTTTTCTTTGGTAGAGGATTGAAGGAGGGTTTTTACTTCTCCAAATGTTGATAGAAAAAAAATAAATCTATGCATGTTAGGGATTTTCCCCTTAAATCTGTATTTCTCATGCATGTTAAATATGGATTGATTTCACATTGCTGTTACACTCCAGGAGTAATACTGCCCTAAAAAGGCATTGAATGGCTAATGTCAAACAGATGTAAACATTCAAAATACTGACAAATTAAAAAAAAAAAACACAAAAAACCCTGTACTGAAATTGTGAATTGAGTTAGGTTTCTGTAAAGCAGAAGAAATATTTTACAGCAGTACAAGAGAATTATGGCAACAAAGTAAAGCACTTTTCTTGTAACATTCATGAACAGTACAAATACGACAAAGTTATTCTACAGACTAAATTATTCTGTAACTATCAAATATAGTACAAAGCGAAATATTATGTGCTATAAAAGAAGCAGCTCCTTTAAATTTGACTAAAAATGTTTTTGTTGGTTTTACAGTGACAAAAGCATGATTACTGAAGACAACAGGATTTTTAGATTCAGAAACATTTAGCTACACAGGTCCATGATTATCCACACTGAATATTATTTTTTGCTTTCCCTCAAAGTTCTACAGAAACACAGATAAAAAACCGCTGTGCTCCTGTCACAAAACTGTAGAAAGTCATTCAGTGTTTAAAGCAGGGCCGTTCGCATGTGTCAGCTAAGATGATCCCTTTAGATGACATTTTTGAGCTTTTGAGTGTTCATCCTGGTACTTCACCACACCTTGGTAAAACTGCTAAACCAGAGGCTACAATAACTATTCTGAAATTGTGCGTGTGTTTGTAAGGGGAAGGGAGGTGCAGCATAAGATAATTTTACTTCAGAAACTGCATTACAAAGCACCATATGCACCAGTTTATAAACTGTGCAAGGAATTCCAGGACCCTGAAAAAAATCTGAACATTCTGTAGCTTACCCTAACAACACAGAGCCCTCATCAAGAAAAGGGATATTATTCTGCTTTATGGCTCAACCTTATTTTTAAGTTAATTCATTTCACGTGCTAAACCTCAGCAGGTAAACAGAATGCTGAAATGAAGTGCCCAGTTCACCAATTTTTTTATATTATTTCAACTAAGGGAATTTCTGACTGGAAAATTAGTTTTGCACAGGAACAGACAAACATACACACTACAAATGCCCTAATGTTAACGATACACCTCAAAAATAAGCAGATTAAAAAAAAAAGGAAGGAAGGAGCACAAGAGTATTTCTTCCTCTCTCCCAAAAGTGCTGCAACTAGGGAAAAAACTTTGGATATTTTCCAAAAATGCATGTGTGTAAATTCCTGCGGGATGGATGGATGGACTGACACACACAAACACACAGAGGTGTCTTCTTAAGTAATGCTTATTCTCACCACTTTTCAGTGCATAAACCTTAAATGTTCAACAGTGCAAACTGCACGATCACTAACAAAACAGAGTGACATGGGGATTGAAATCGGGACAAAATTAGACAAAAACAGGAGCAATCCAAAATTCAGTTCTAATCTTAGGCCTGGTCTACACTAAAGGGGGGGGGGAAATCGATCTAAGTTACGCAACTTCAGCTACATGAACATAGCTGAAGTCGACGTACTTAGATCTACTTACCACAGTATCTTCACTGGTAAGTTGACGGCTGATGCTCCCGTCGACTCCGCCTGCGCCTCTCGCCCTGGAGGAGTACTGAGTCGATGGGAGAGTGCTTGGTGGTCGATTTATTGCGTCTAGACTAGATGCGATAAATTGACCCCCGCTGGATCGATCGCTGCCCGTCGATCCAGCCGGTAATGTAGACAAGCCCTTAGGAGGGTACAATTTTCAAGAGCACCTGCATGATTTAGGAACATAAGTCCCATTTTCAAATTAAAAGTCAGACTAATTTTCAAATTAAAAGGAGACTCAGGCTCCTAAATCAGTTAGGTGCTTTTGGAATTTTACACTATGGCTATAAATCACTTACATCACTCACCAGATGTTTCTAAGTGGGTCAAATTCATTCCTAAAGCAACTCCACTGATGTCAAATAGAAGTCAATGCAATAGCACCATGGAGGGGGTTGGCCAATTCTATTATATTATTTAGCATCATTTTGTCCAAAGCAGTTTTATATAACATTTTATCTTATCTCAAATATGCAAACTGCAACCACAGTACAAAGATGCCATTGACATGAATTCATATTATATCATATTATTTACTCCCTCATCCGTTATTCAAAATAAAACATTTTTGGATGCTACATTTTCTTTCAATACCATGCCAGTCATGGGTAGAATATATTTCAAGTTGCAAGTAAAAACAGATACTGATACGTGCTGTGGACAAGGGATTCTGAGCCAGAAGTAAAAAGATTCCGAGCTCTCAGAGGGTTCATATAAATACAGGTTATCATGATTTTAAGAACTGGCCAATCTGTTTATTTAAGGGAATAAATTCTACCTCTACCATATGTAAATGCAATAGGATATAAGTCCAATACAGAAGGCTCCTTAAATATGGTTTGGTATGCATGACTACAATATACTCATGTTTACCCATGTGACCAACATAACTCCCATTTGGGTAGCCATCAGCATACCACTGGAAATTACTTTTCAACGGTTTATTTTTGGTTTGTTTTTAATTCCACAGAAAGGTTTGAAAAAGTGGAAAATCTGTGGGATTTTCACCTTTCATAAAGGAGTGCTTTTGTATACAGAAAATATATTACTGTATCAGCAACAATTTTGTTAATGGAATCGTCAATAGCTTTGGATCACATGGTGTCAAAAATTAAGACTTAGATGTCACTACTACAGTAAAACAGAACTCTAGTTGCACCACAGAACTTCTTATGGCAGGAATGTACTTCCTACAATGTTCCAACGAATTTTTAAAGACAATCAAAAGGAATAGTATAGTTTTTGTTTGTGAAAATGGTCCCAAAAGAAAATAAATGGGATTTGTATATACGGTAGAACCTCACTAATATGCACTGATGCCAGGGAGACCAATGACAAATTAAATAATTATAAATTAGTAAGCAAGAAAAGATCATAAACAAACAAGTATAATGGATCATATAGTGTACTTTTTTCATTTGACAGTTTTATTGTTCATGTTAATACTTCAGGATATACCAGTAAATGTGTAGTGTTATATGTTTTGTATAAATACTAAAATCTGATTAATACGAGACCTCAACTCACTGCTATTACATGTTTCACTGAGAACTAGAGAGAGAATCTCTGTTTTTTGTGCAGATGGTAAGGTGTATATATTAGTGAGGTTCTACTGCAATGGTAAAAATTACTTTGTTCTCTATGCTCATATTTGTTTGGGCTGTCAGCCGCATGTCAGCATATGGGGTACTCGTACTGCACATTTTGTGTTCTTGAATCTGGAGTAAAAAACAACAGCAAGATTTTTTCCTGTCCCCAACAGCTGCATGTGCTTTATCCCTTTATAATATTTTTCTTTTAGGTGGACAGGGCCCCAAAATTACTGCTGTTGTCCTCTGATGTTATGGTGGCTAATGCATCTGGAATGCAGCTGTAGTCCTCAACATAAATACAGTACTGGATAAATACTGAAGATTATTTAAAAGATGCAGTATCCCTTTAAAACCCCCCACCTCTTTACTCCCAACTCTCTAAAAGATACTATAAGTGGTCTGAAATCTTTAACAGAAAAAGGTAGTGTTAAGTCATTTTTGAAAATAAGTTTTTTAAAAAGTCAAAACTTAAACATATTTAAATAGATAGTAAAGCATATAGGAGGGAAAATAACTGATTTTCTACTATTCAGCTCAACACACAATTATAATCTGTCCTCAAATCATTATTTATACCTTAGGATCAACCTTAGGCCATGGAAATGCTATTGAAATCCAGAACCTATTTGTTACCTAGACCTGACCCATATATGTGTTTGGGATAGATAGCTCAATAGGTGTACAGGGAAGGTTTGGGGAAGAGGGAAAAAGAGAGGGTGCTCAGCTCTCTAAGAGAAGTCGTTACTTCCTCTACACTCCATTAAAGCCAAGAGATTCTAGACATGGTCCAGCTAATCAAACCACATTTACAAATCTAATTCTCAGGGAATCAACAAGAACAGCTGACAATTAAAACCTTACCTCCATAATGCTTTGTGTAGGAGTGAGCAAACTCCTTTAATTAAATCTGTCTAAAGTCTCTCTCTTTCTTTTGCTAGGTTGACCGTCTATAAGTTATGGATGGTAAAGGTGGGTTCAAGAAAGCAATCATCATTAGAAAAATTGCAAGTCAATTTAGTAGCTCTGAAGGTGATTTGTAACAGAACACCAAGCTACTTTACCCAAAGCAGTCTTTACTCAATTTGTTAGTCATCTTGTTATCTCCGCACTTGCAGTACCCCGGCAGTTAGAAATCATGAGAATACAACTAACCTGTTATTCTTAACCTAGAGGGTCTGCTATCATAATAGATAAGTGGGGAAATAGTGTGCTGCACTTTGTGCAAATAAATAGAAGCTAGGAATGACATGTTAATACCTTTTCTTTTAGACAGCAAGGAAGCTCATAGAAGCTTAGTAACAAGTTTGTTATTTTTTTTTAAAGAAATTCTAACGGTTTCTTCTTCTTTCCAGGGAATGTCATGCAAGCAGAAATAACTAAATTCTGAAACAAAGCATCACCAGAAAAAAAAAAAAAAAAAAAAGGCCTAAAATGTTACAATTTCTCCACTTCTTTGTTCTGCTCTCCCATGCTGAGAAGGGATACTGCATCTTTGACTCAGTTTCTACCGTACAACCAAACAAGCTACACACAGTTTTGAAGGGCCTATGCAGTCATCATGGCAGAAGGCTCCACAGCCTTTGCACACTATCATGGCTTTCAGCCTGCAAGAGCATTTCAGTTCCAGTTCATCTGCATTGCTGCTGTCAGCAAATTTCTGAACCGGAATCGGAACGTTCTGATTAGACAGACCTGTAGCAGTATTTGAGCCACTTCCCAAAATTCCAATAGATTTTTCAATCGCAGATGCTGCCCTTTTGAAGCTTGTGCTACCAAAGTGTATAGTTGGATAATTTCCACAGAGCTGCTGCTGCTGTGGGTGCTGTGTTTGTATTTTCTGAGTCGCTAATTGGGTAAAAGGCTTCTGTGGCTCAGAAAGTAAATAGGAAGAGAAATCTGCATTTTTTAATGCAAATGCTTTTAACTGTTCTTTTACTTCATTCTGATCGTAGGAAGCTTGTTTTATGCCCAGTTCGCAGCTGCTGCTTAAACCTTCCTCAAAAGAAACAGGTTCAGATTTTATATTGCTACAGATGCTTGCTGGCTGAGGCCAACTAAGTCTTTTAGTGGTTTCCATAGTAACTGTCGGTTGTTTTTGATCAGATGGGACTTCTGCGTTTGGAATAGGGGGAGGAGGAGGAGGAGGAGGATGCACTAATGTTTTATTCTGGAGAGTTTGTGAGGCACTAGCAATGTCATCACCTTCCTTAATTTGAATATTAGGGGAAAAAACACTTCCTAGCCTCAGCTGGTGAGCTGCTGCAGAAATATTGACCTCTCCCAAACCCTTCTGTTCCAGGTGCCTACTGAAAGCAAACGCATTGCAGCCAGATGGGACTTTTGAAGTAGTTTGCAACAAAGCTGCCGTAGGAATGGGGCCTCTTGCAGCCATGGACATTTGGTAAAAATGCTGTCTGTGTGAGGTACTAGCTTCTGCATGAAAACTGCCATTTTTGTCAATGTGAAATAAGTTCTGTTGGAAACTGCACGAAGGCAGTGGCCTCTTCTGCTGCTTGATCTCTGGACTGTGAGCAATTCTGTTCTGAACTGCATGTTTGCTCAGCCACTCTTGTTTAAATGGCTGACCATGCCCTAGTTGATTCATGTTGGAACTGATTACACAAGGAGCCACTTTAACATCTGTGTCCATTGATAGCTTCCCAAGCTCACATTTCATTTGAGTGTGCTCCCCCACAGTCCTGGCCATCCGCTTTTTTGGATGGTTTTCACGCTTTCTAATTTGCAGTGGGGCTATGCTGCCTGCTGTAAATCCTTTACCATCTGGATTGGGTGAGCTGGAAGGATTTTCAACCATACTTCTCTCAGATGCTGATGTTTTACACACTGAGGTAGTTTGCAAAGGCAGGGGAAGCCTGTTAATTTCTAGTTTGGCTCCTGATCTGGGCTGCGGCAGCACTTTTTCCAAAGGCAGGTTGCCTTGCAGTAACTGTGTCACTAGAGGATTGTTGGCCTCAACTGATGACAAACGACAGCTAGAGCTTCCAGCACTTGTAACTCTTTTTAGGGTTTCTGTTGTCAATGACAAAGAGTCCTCCATGGAATCCGTAACAGATGTCTTGGAGGTTTGTGTCGGCTGTGCACTTGTGGCTATTTCTGCAGTCTGGCTAGGCATTTCAGGTCCGGTAAAATCTTCAGTGTCCATCCTAAAGCACTTGTCAGCTTCGGTAGTTTCTGATTTAACAGGAACAGCGATGCTTGTCATAAGACTCCTTGACTGCAACTCTGACATTTGCATGTAACTTGAAGGTTCAGTTTTGACATTTTTTAAACAGTTTTGCTCTGTATATTCTTTATGCTTATTTGGGTTAAGATGGCTGACCACTGGCTGGTCTGTGTGCATTGCCTCTTCATCATGCCAGCAAATTCTGCTATTAGTGTTATACTGATTGACACAGGCAGCATCTGCTTCACTTTTAAAGGCTGAAGGACCTCGTAACTGCTCCACAAAACCTTGGCTGGGGGCAACAACCTCAATTAATTTATCTTGAGGAGTAAGAGGCACTTCTTGAAGACTTGTACAAGCTGCCTGCAAGGTTTTGCCCTCTTGCTTTGCTGTAACAGTTATGAAGCTGGAACTGTGCTCAAGGCTTTCATTACTGACTATTTCAGGCCTGCTTATTACAGACACCTGAGGACATGCTATATTTTGTAAGGCAGTTTCTGCCCTCACAAGTCTGCTCTGCAGATCTATGCTGTTTTCTGCATTTTCAATGGAAGCAGCCAGTGACAAACTGGAATTTAATGTCGTAGTGTGGTCAACAATGACTTTACAAGGTATAGACCTGTTCATGGCTGTTTGTGTAAAGTTCACTGGCTGAGATTTACTGGACAGATCTATTCGGTTTCGTGGTCCAGAACTTTTTTCCAAGTTGTCAGCACTTAATTTAGCAGTGTTGTCGTAAGAACTTATTGTCACCATATTACCAGTAAACATTGAAATGGGTGGTCTTGCAACAGAATCTACTGCAGCCGCATCACTGCAGCTTAAAGCCGCTCTAACAGTACTGTTAATGGATACAGTACTTTGCTCACTGCATCCAGTTATGGCTATCTTATCAGAAGAAAATCTAGCAGTAGTCCCCACTGGGGGAATCAGTACAGAACTACCTGGGAGATGATTTGGCAAATTACTTGCAATGGACGAAGTCGGCACAGTGGTATATTGACTGGAGACTGCATTATTTGCACTGCTACTTGATACTGGCAACCTTTTCTCATCAATTGAATTTGATAAGACTGTACTGTCTATTGAGGTTGGAACAACAGTGTTATCAATACATTTTGGTACAATGGCAATGCATGGAGTATCAACCCCTTGGGTGGATTTCAGCATGTTTACATTACAAGCCGAAATTGTTGTGTTTGTACTGTCAACAGACATTAAAACAGAGGATTTATCAAGAGAACTTGCAAAGGGAAGTTCTTGAATTGTTCCCGACATAGCAGTGCTGCAAACAGACGCAGGGACTGAATTTTTACTATAAAGCACTGGCACATTGTTACTTTCAGTGGAGGTAGATGAGATAATTTTCTCACACAAATGTGGCATAGGTATGTTTTCATCAGAACTGTGCACAGATATGTCCGTAGCAGTTTCTGGCAATGCAGCTGTGTTAAGTGACTGCTGCAGTAAAGTGTTAGTCTCACGGAGGTGAGCAGACTTGTTGCTAGGAGACCTGCAGTTAGGATTAACTATAATGACACCAGTAGAAACTTCAATCTTTGTGTCAGAAGGAGTCGAGGTCTCTACGTACGAAGGACCTTCCTTTGAACTGAGCTGAGACTTTGCTTCTTTACTGGTCTGGAGTAAATGGGCTCTGGCTTGATGCTTTGCAAATAGTTTGGCCTTTGTTTGCTCCTTGATGTGTGCCAGTGTTCTTGTCTTCCCACCTTCGCAGGGACTCCCCATTGCTCCAGAGACTATGCTTGCAGCTGCTGCCACAGCAGCTGCGGCTGCAGCCTCTCTCTGGGCTCTAGCTTGCTGAGCTCTTGCCTTGATATCTGCAAGAGTTCTAGCCCCAGTGTTCCTCCCGCTGCTGACTGATGTACTCTGGGAAACCCTAGGTTCTGGTTTTGAAACAGGTTGACTCTTGATAATAAAAGGTGGCCCAATTTTTGAAAGTTGAATCTAAAAGAAGAAAAAAGAAAACAATTTTAATGTGGTATCATACATATTATATTTCTCTGCTGTCTCCTAAAAGGTTCAGAGCATGATAGCGAATTAGAGGTCAAACTAGATGATCAGGTGGTCCCTTCTGGCCTTAAACTCCATGATTAGAATTATCATGCAGGGTAGTTGCACAGAAAAATGCTAAAAGTTAACGATATGTTCATTTTACTATTTTGTCATTCTCTAACAGAAGTAATGAGTACTTGAATTTGCCTCCATAGACCTACCCTTTTGTTGAGAAGGAAAGTTGACCGAATGTGATAAAATATAATGGTTATCGGATATAATTAATCACACCTTCCTAATCTCCATTGTATCTAGTTGGAGATCAACCTGTCTAATGCAATGGGACTGGAAAAGGGCTTCCTAGTTAACACATACTGCAAATGTTTGAAAAATAATAATCATAGTGTTTTTGCTCCTCACTCCAAAGCATTCAGGCCTTGGTAACTACTTAACCTTTCCCTCGTTACACCAAACATTTATTGTAATATCAAATGCAACCAAAAAACCTTTCCTCCAGCTAGGAGGAGTCTGAAATTCCTCTGAGTCTGTAATTCATACCATACCAAGGATCAATCTCTAACTGTGACTTAAAAGGGGTGAATCACAAAAATGTCTTTTTCCCTCCCTAGCGCCCTAATTTTAGGACACCCACTGTAGTATCTTTCTGGTGCATCACCTGCTCACTACTGTGTATTGAGATCCCAATCCTGCAAATATTTATAAAGTGTTTAATGAACGTACATGAATGATCTCACTGAAATCAATGGGATGACTCATATTATTTGTAAACATAAGCACATGCACAGGTGTTTGCAGATTGGGGTGTAAGAGTCATGAGGTCATATCCAAGACAAGCTCCAACAACAATCAGTGGAATGCACTTCTATTAAACACATCAAGCCAGGCAGAATAGTATTTTAACCTCTTAAAATAGACACATTTTTCAGCTGTCCAGGTTAGTGGGGCCTCAGTGATCAGTGAGGTGACTTTCATTTGGAGAGTAGCAGAGAGATGAGCTATGTAACATTTATAGAGAAAGTAGCCATGTGATAAATGTGAGTTAAGGGAAGTCAAAGCTACAAAAGAGCCCTTATGGTTTGGGACACTGGCAGGGTCATTCTTATAAGGAAAGGTAGCCGTTATCAGTGGCACCATCTTACAGAGCTAAATACTGATTAAATAAAGAAATGATTAACACATGATTTTCCAAAATAAATTTTAGAAATGCCTGCTGCTGTTTCAGTATCTCCCTTCAATGTCTCTGGGGCTGTCTCTGTTGGTAGGAACTGCCATTTCCCCAGCAGGGGACCAATTTGATGATGCAGTGTGGGATTGAAAGAATCTGGTTTTCTATTAGAAAGCAGTGGAACTCAAAGTTCCAGTGCTGTAGTAATATACATTTTATTTATCTCCACAGTACAGCACAGACAGTGTCAGTATAACTTTCCCCACACAGCTCTGCCAACGGGCCTCAACCCTGACCTTGAGGGAAAGAGCAATTCATTATATGTGCCAATTCAATTCTTGGCCTGTCTGCCGAATCTGCCAATTAGTGCTAGTTATGGTGGTGGTTTTGTAATGTCGAAACTTCTCAGCTGGGAAATGGAATGAGATCAAACTAATTTCACATATACCAATGAATACCCAGCAGATAGTGACCAAAAATCAACACTACTGATTTCATCTGGGTTTGAACTAGCAACCTACAGACAAAAGGTTCCATCATCTAGAACTAATCTCTTGAATCATTTTGTTCCTCCTCTAATTTTTTTAAAAACATCGGTTAGTTTAATAGTTGTGTTAATGTAAGTGTTATTAACTCATTTCTTAAAGTACACTGCTACTTTAAAACACTACTTTGAAACATTTTGCTTTCCAGCTCAAAAGCAGATCTTTTCCAACCCTACTTTGCAACATCAATATTGATAAAATGGTAACTATTGTTTGATTGTTAATTTTTTAAATTATAATACCTTTTTCTCCCTAGTGATCTACTTTTCTTTGTAATTAGATAGTGATTAGAATTCCATATATGAGGCTGGAGTCTTTTAACAAAAAAACAAAACAAAAAAAACCAAGAATACCACTAAAGTTAGACTGGACTAGCTTCCAACTGTATTCTTGCTCATCAACAACTGTTAGCTGGTCCATGCTGTAGTACTAGTGATTGAAACATTTACTGTATTTGCCCTCCTGGCCAGATTAGCAATGTTCAATGACTATAGCAGTTACAAATAAATGGAAAAAAGGGACAGCTCTGAATAATTGGGAACTCACACTGCACAGCCAGTAGGTTGAGTTAAGTAGACTGGACCTAAGTTTTGGCCAATGTCCTCATGTACAAAACTAAGATCGACAAGACATCACAAAACAGACTAAATAAATCTATTGTCATCACATGTTAAAAAGAAGAACTTTCCAAACAGAGCAAACTTTTTAAAAAAAGACAAATGTGTACAAAACAATTTATCTAGCTAGTATTTTGCCGCCTTTGCTTTGCTGCTATTAAAGATATGTGCATTCTCACGAAGACTTTCTCCCTTACAGCTAAGGTTCTGCCTCCTAACTGTACAGGGAAATCTTGTAGTTAAGCCATCATGTGTCCCAGTCTTGCAAAAAGATCTGCAAGCACAGGCCGTTACTCATAGAATCTCAGGGTTGGAAGGGACCTCAGGAGGTCATCTAGTCCAACCCCCTGCTCAAAGCAGGACCAATCCCCAACTAAATCATCCCAGCCAGGGCTTTGTCAAGACTGACCTTAAAAACCTCTAAGGAAGGAAATTCCACCACCTCCCTAGGTAACCCATTCCAGTGCTTCACCACCCTCCTAGTGAAAAAGTTTTTCCTAATATCCAACCTAAACCTCCCCCGCTGCAACTTGAGACCATTACTCCTTTTTCTGTCATCTGGTACCACTGAGAACAGTCTAGATCCATCCTCTTTGGAACCCCCTTTCAGGTAGTTGAAAGCAGCTATCAAATCCCCCCTCATTCTTCTCTTCTGCAGACTAAATAATGCCAGTTCCCTCAGGCTCTCCTCATAAGTCATGTGCTCCAGCCCCCTAATCATTTTTGTTGCCCTCTGCTGGACTCTTTCCAATTTTTCCACATCCTTCTTTTAGTGTGGGGCCCAAAACTGGACACGCTACTCCAGATGAGGCCTCACCAATGCCAGAGAGGGCAGAATGATCACGTCCCTCGATCTGCTGGCAATGCTCCTACTTATATAGCCCAAAATTCTGTTAGCCTTCTTGGCAACAAGGGCACACTGTTGACTGCATATAGAGCCTCTCTGCTTTCAATCTGGATCCCTTTGCAGGACTGAGGAATTGACCAGTTATAACAAAAATGACTCTGATGTAACAAATTCACTATTTCAACTTCCCTGGGGAAGCCAACTAGAAAGAAAAACAGACTGTGAGCGAGCAGGCCCTTGCTTAATTTTGAATATTGTAGACTGGGGAATAAGCAACTATACTAAGAAACAATGGAAAAGTCCATGGATTTATTTTTAAGTCATATATATTTGGATTGTTTTCCCTTACATGAAAGTAACTTTGCAACAAAAAAGAGGTAACTCAAACTGTGCAACACAGAAAGAGAGGTATTGGAAATTGCTTATCTTTCTCTCCTTATACCAAACATTTAAGAGAAACAGAAACAAATCCAGAAGCAATCAGCAGATAACTCATCTTTAGCCTTCTGACTCAGTAGGCATTTACTACCACTTTACCTTGAGGGGTGGGACTCGGGGCTCTTCTCTAGGTGGCTGCTCTTTCTCGGATGGACTCGTCAATGGAGCATTACGATTAGACTGATCATCTTCTATTCTAGCTCTCTTCTCTTTACAGATTCCAAAACTGTGCTGCTCTGCAGTCTTTCGCTTTGGGATCTCTGCATCTCTATTTTCAATTCTTACTTCAGGTGATTTTGTGGGTTCTAATAACTTAGAAGAATGGGAACTCTCCAGCCGTATCTGTGCACTGCTTTGTTGTTTGTGTGACTTACTTCTGCACACTTCTGAGAATGAAGTCTTTTCTAGAGATGAGGTATATACTTTATCATGTGGTTTAATTGGAAGGAGTTCAGTGCTTTTGCCCACTGTCCCTTCTGATACGACAGATATCTCTAATGGCGAGAGCACACCTTTCTTTTCCACTCTTTGCTGAACATGATGATTTTTAATTTTGATCACTTCTGGAGAAGAGAGTTCTGAAATGGAAGCAATATAAGATTTCTCAATTTCAGTATGTGATCTACATGATTGATGAGTAAGATTTTTGCTCTGGGGCTCTTCCAATATTGAACTTTCGGGTATATTTGCTAGAGGACCCATTTTCATAGTTTCAGCTGTACTCTGAATCAGTTTCTCTTGCGCAATAAGATTTTCCTCTTGAGATGCCTTAGGAATGGTTGAAGTTTCTTCTTTTAAAGGGGAGAGGGATTCTTCAGATAAACATGGTGATTTCCTTTGCTGCAGAATGAGTCTTTCACTCTGTGGGGAATTAGAAATTGGAGATGTTTCTGACAGAAAAGGTAAACTGGTTGCCATAGATGTTTCAGAAGCTAGAAGTACAGAAGACACGGAAGAGGTTTCTGATGTTAACGGTAAATCAGACATTGGAGAGGTTTCTGATGTTAAAGGTAAATTAGAAGCTGGTGATGCCTCTGATGTCAAAGGTAAGTTTGATGTCAGAGATGCTTCTGAGGTTACAGGTGAAGTGGACACTGGAGATATTTCTGACATTAAAGGTGTGTGCAGGCTTTCTTCAATGGTCTTTTGCTGACTATCAGGTTCAATATTTTCACTGCTGGCTGCCTCAGATGAACAAGCCGTTTCATGAGATGCTGGAGTACAGGGTTCCTCTGAAGTGGACTGTGTGTCACCTCCTGGAGAGGCAATACTGATACAAGGTCCCTCTGGGCTTTCAGAGGAAAAGGAAGTTTCAGAAATACAAGCATTTTCAGATAACTGTTCATCAGCGTCACTCTGTAGCTCCATATCAACAGCAATGCCTCCATCAGTGAACAATGAGCCTTCTAGAGCAGAGTTTTGTGTTTCTGGAGCACTTAGCTCTTTTGTAGACTCAGAATCCCTCTCTGCTGTATCGCTGACAGAGTTCGTAGATGAAGCAGATTGTGCAGGTGATAAGCAATCCTCCAGCTGATCAATCACAACTGACATTTCTTCCTGAGGACATTCTGATTTCAACTCCACTTTAATTTCAATGTGAGACAAAGTATCAACTACATCATTCATCACAACACAGGATGCTGAGTTGTCTGCAAGTGGCACTGCTTCTACTTCTTCATTAGTACCAGCTGGGCTTACTGGCTCCTCAGAAAACTCATGTTCTGTTTTATGGTTCTCCTCTTGGCATTCACAGATACTTGTCTCAACCTCCTCAGCAATCTCTTCCTGAATTACAGATTCGTCAGGTACCAATATATCCTCTGAATCTGATTCCGCCATTAGATCCTTGACTGGAACCTGTTCCACATTACAAAGAGACTGACAGAAATCTCTTTCAGGAAGAGGTGGAATTTTCATGCTTTTCTGTTCATGGTCCTCAAAAGTTGTTTGTTTAGAAGGACCAGGCATACCAGAAGATCCACACAGCAAACTACTCTCGTCTTCATCACTGTTCTGTACTGAAGTGAGCTTCATAGATTCTTCTCTTGACATTCCCAACCTAAAATACAAACCACTTAAGTTAAAATGTCATATCATAGAATCATAGAATATCAGGATTGGAAGGGACCTCTGGAGGTCATCTAGTCCAACCCCCTGCTCAAAGCAGGACCAATCCCCAGACAGATTTTTACCCCAGTTCCCTAAATGGCCCCCTCAAGGATTGAACTCACAACCCTGGGTTTAGCAGGCCAATGCTCAAACCACTGAGCTATCCCTCCCCCCCCATGTAATCACAGACAGAATTAAACAATGACTGGATTTTTGTCCTATGCTTTTACTGAATACATGCCATTAAAAGGGCATTGTCATATAAAAAATAATGGGGTAGATTCAACAGAGTGATGCCAATTTACACTAGCTGAGGATCTGGCTTTATATATTTAGGAAAACAAATTTCCTTACCTGTATTACTTATATTACCTTTGATTAGTAAAACTTCAGGAATTTTAAAAATGCAATTTACTTTTTATTATTTAACCATTTGGCATTTTATTCAAATTGCACATAAAATGCAGACTATTTGGTTTTACTTTTATTTATACTCCATTTCCCTTTCTGATTTTCATATGCCAGCACAATGCTGCAATAGTAGCACTGCAAGTATTGCAGGAGAATTGTTTAAATTCAGTGAAAACAGTTTTGGTTTGAAATTTAAAAACAGTTCAGAAAAATATTTCTATTAGTATCACTTTTGCCTAAATTAGCAGGAAAAGCTGCATTTCAGAAACTCATTCTTGCCTCCAGCTGATGAACTGTTTCTTTTCTGTTTAGAAACTTCTAATAATTTCATGTGTTTTTACAATGAAAATTTAAAAAATCCCATTTCATCCTCATTTATTTTCCAATCAAGAGTCTACTACACAAAGTAAGAAAATATCAGTGGCAAGCTCACATTTTTGATTCCATTCTATTTCAGAAGCATATGAAGCAGCATTATTTTAAGATGATAAATTTAGGTCTATGCATACACAACTCATCAGATTTCTCTATAATAAAAAAATCTTTAACATTCTTAAATACAAAATAAACGAGGCGTTTATAATCTTTGTATTTTAAGTGACTGAAGTGTAAAAAGTCACAGTGTGGGCCCTTGCTTACACTTCCATTTTAGGATGTTTTCTTAATCCCTTTCTTACCTAAAATATTATATATTAATTTACATATAATTCTATTGCTTTAGACAAATAAAACTAACACACAGCTAAGAGTTGCGGACAATTGGTAAAAAAAATTATAAAAGTCATTGGTTTAGGTTGAAAAACGACAACTGAATTTAGAAACAAGAGCTATTGAGAGAAAATATAAAAAGAGCATGATCCTGCACTCTCATTTCTGAACAAAGACAATGGGGCTGGAGAATACTGAGCACCTTTTGGAGTGGGCAATGGGGGACCATACCAGCAGCAATGTGACACTCCAGAGTGCTGGAGAAGACACAAATGCTAGGCTGTGGTGGTAGGAGGGGTATGATGGTCTTCCGAACCATATGCCAATAACAGAAGATTGATCTCCATCCTCAATTTAATGAGAAGACAATGTAACTGAATAAACAAGTGAGTGATGTGCAAGAACGAAGGATATCAGGAAATTAAGCAAGCAATGGTTCTGAATAATTTGCAGAGGGTGACAGAGGAAATAGGAAGTTCATTTAGGTCCACACTGTAACAGCTCCAAGTATGGAATAATCATGGAATGAATCAACATTTTTAGTAGCACACTTTAGGAATTCTGAATAGATGGCATTGTTGACTATAAAATAACAATCATGTTATAAAAATCAATCAATAATCAGTAACCAAAAAGAACTCCCAGTCTCTTGAATGGAAAAGCAAAGCCAGTCTCAAGAAAGGGAGGGGGGCAGGGGGAAAGGTACTGTACAACTGAAAGCCAGTAAGAGGACCTTGTTTTTAGCCTTGTTAAATATGAGGACATTCTGGAGCATTCGATATAAAATGTCTACCAATCACTTCGTAATATAGGCAGTGGTGCTGGAAATAGAGGTGCTGGGGTTGCTGCTATACCCCTGGCTTGAAGTAGCAATAACAGACCCCAAACTACATAGTTTCCAGGATCAGCACCCCCACTATAAAAACTGTTCCAACACCCCGGAATATAGGAAAAATAGAATACATAATAGAAAAATACTGTAATATAGAAAAAATATATCAGCTGAAGAATTAGGAAATGCAAGAGAAAGCTGAACATAATCAGCACAGAAACGATACTCAAAACCAGGCGTCCTAATAATTTTAATGAAGGGGAAGAGATACAATGGAAATAGAAAGGAGGAGGGATTAATCCGCTGAATCTACCCCATTATTTTTAATCTGACAATGCCCTTTTAATGGGATGTATTCAGTAAAGGCATAGGGCAATAATATTTCTGATATTATGACTTAAAAGATGTTCCCATGGGCTCAGAGAACAGTGGATGAAGAAGCTTGCAACAAAGGAAAGCCTTAAGATCACAGGGTCTAAGATGATAACAGCCTGCACAACTGGCTGGTCTTTCCACTGTTTTAAAGACAGCAAGACACCAAGACTGCAGTTAGATGGAAAGCAGTGGTCAGCACCACCATGTTGCATGACAGACACTTGACAAAATTACCGTACTTAGTGACGGACTTGGGGGGTGGGGGAGGTTATGTCATTCAGTCATTCAATTTTTTGAAAAATTATCACGGACCTCAAAATTTTTCTGCGTACAGACATGTTGTTGACCCCTGATGGAAAGTATCAGATTGATGGTAATGGTGTTCACTGTACTGAAAGTGCTTCTAATTGGCTAGTGTGGAATTATTTGGTAAAGTCTGACAGCCAGTCTTGAAATTAAATATAGCCATCAAAGGTACACAGAGGATGATACAGTAATCCATATTAAAGGGAAATCAGTGAGACTATTTTGGCATTTAATTAAGAGTTTTAAACAGCATTAAAATTCAGAGAATACTGGCCTAAAGCCAGTGCCTAGAGGTAACAACTGGTTAGCATCACCACAGCCACTTTAATCTCAGAGCAGGAAAAGAGATAGTCACCACAAGATAAGACCACTGGAGTCAGATTCATCAGGTGACAATCATGTTTTTTCTAAAAGTGCAAATAGTTAATATATCTGGAATTGCACATCATCTGATCATGATTAAGTACATCAGTTGATCAAAGGTTTACTATTTCAAAGTAAGAGAACATGGAGAAAACAGAAAATAAAATGGATGAAAGTGAACAATAGGAAGGAGACCTTGCTACGTATTATGTAATACGCAGAGTCCGGCAAATAGATGGTAGGGCTCTTGGGCACAGTCTAAAGCTATGAATTGAAAGGGGGTTTCATCAGGGTGATCCCAAAGATTCTCAATTTATTAAAGATCCATCTCCAGGTAGATGATGGAACTTGAGAGCCAGGTAATGGAATATTTATAAGCAGTTAACTCAGCTGAGGCCACAACAAAATCACCAAACTGACTGGAGAGGAAAATCGGTCAGACTCCAGGGTGACACCCAGTTTGCTGCCAACACACCTGAGAAATAGCTCATAAAGAATCGGAGCTATCAAGAGCTTCCATTTCAATGGAATCAAAGTATCTGAAGGCACTCAATCCAAACCATATTCAAAACAAGTTTAAAAAACCCAAGTCAAAACAAGGTAGTAAGCAGCAAGTAGACTGAACTCTAGTAAAGATGTTGCCAGACAAACCATAGTCCACCAAAAAAACCACACTTGAGACAAGTCAAGCAGTAGAGAGACCTAGAGGGGTGAAACAGCAGGTGCCCGCAGATTAGCCAGATGAGAACCATGCCGATGAAACAGAACAGGTGGAGAAAAACAGGTTCAGTCTAATGGTCAGAAGAAATTGTGAGTATTATGACACCTAGCATTACTATCTGGATGTCAAAAACCTACCGTCAATACTGCCCAGTGTCATTGTCATTGCAGACTGAACCTTATCTGTTGGCCATGGCACCCAACTTTCAGTTAGCAAGGTAGGACTGCTGGTTCCTTTTAGCATAATTAATACTACGCCCTATGGACACGTTACTCATCAGTGCATTTGGAACACTGTTTCCTTTAAAATAAGCTAATAATTTTGCTTAGTTTGTGTTTAAGCTTCTAATTACAGCAGAAAGTCCCAAGGCAACCTTTCAAAACAGCCCTCCTCTTAGAGCAGAGTTCTGTAACTCTGACTTGTATACTAACATGCATAATTAAAGGCCATTAGACTCCATAAACAAATGGCTAGCTTTACATATATTTAAATGAAGAGGTCTACAGTTGGACTATATCCTGGTCTCCAGGCTTTCAAGGAAAATGCTTTGCCACTTGATCAAAAAGAGCAGTTCTGTTACACTAAGGCATCCAAGAGTGTTAACAGATAAAATGGTATTCAAATAATGCTCATGTTGTGAGAAAGCTGCTAGCAAGGAAATGTAAAGTTAAACTTGAAATTCAGTCCTTTAATCTGCTGCCTTGTTTCACCGAAATACTGCCGTGGTGTGAAATCCATGAATTGTGCAAGGTAGCACCTATGCTCTAATGTCCAGGCACAACGCTTTAGTTACTGTCATAATCCTGGCCTTTATGTAGATGCAGGTTTTGGTCTCTGAATGTCCATGACTGCTTAAGTAAACAAAGGTTTTTTAAAATAAATAAAATATAAAACGATCCTACACATTATAATGGCTCCTTTGGGCCTTTTCTGTCTATTAAACACACATATTATCCACACAAATTTTACACAGGATGTATTCTAAGTTATAAACTGAAGCCACTTTAAAGTTAGAAGTGCACAAAGAATTACATAAAAACCAAAAAACTCAATATAATTCTATATTTTAACACCTACATAAGTCAAAGAGCACTGGACTGACTTTTTAAAAGCCATTTAAAAGGACATTTTCAGGTTTAAAAAACATTAACCAATTTCCTTACCTATATTAGATTTTTAAAACAGAAAGAATTTAAGGGCTGTAAACAGCTCCTGTAAACTGGGATAGCTTTACTGACATCAGAGCTATGATGACTTACACCAGCTGAGCCTTTGGCCCGATACATCTAATTCACTTTACCCCTCTTCTGATATTTGTTTTGTTTTTGTACCTCATCTCAGAAAATAAAATTAGACTACTCAGTTTCACTTTTGTAAAGTTATTCTCTAGTCAATTTCACCTACCTATTGTGTGCACTAGCACAATGCTGGAATGTCTGGGTCAGAAACACCTTAGGAGACTAATTTTTTTAAAATGACTTTTTAAAAAATGTCATAGAAACATCTCTATTGGTTTTCGGTTTTGTAAAAGCTTTGTTTATAATTTCAGGCAAAAACTGGCTTGTTACAATACTTTTAAAATAAAAATTATTCCCACGTTCAGACTCTGTATTTTAAATTCTGCACAGAATGAATTTTTGTGGATGAGTTCTGAACCCCATAAAATGCATTTTTAATGTAAATGCTGACATGCCACTACAATTTTACCCACAATTTCTTATATTGGGGAACTACTGCCTTTGATAACTGGTTTATTAAGTTTTACAACCTTTCTGACTGTACTATGTGAAGCACAGAACAATATTTTCATTTCCTTCTAAAAGAAAATGAAACAAAATGGTTTTTGGTCCAATACTTACTTTTCACCATAAAACCTTTCAAAGAACCTTTCCTTCCAAGGTTCTGTTTTCTTTTCCTTTTCAATCTCTTGTCTGATGCGCAACTGCATTTCTGGAGTAAATTCTCCTAAAAAACAAATACTAGCATATTGAATAAAAGTTGTCAAGGTTTACGCTAATACGGGACCATTATATATTGTACAAAGATACACATATATACTGTTCTTTGTTATTGCCATCCAAACAGTAATTCAATGCAAGACAAAGGTGAGTGTGACCTGCAAGATTGCAATTAGCATATAACTTTGGTATTTCCAAAGTATATTGGTGGGATTTAGTCACATGCATTTATGTTTTCAAAGCTGACAGTGATGAAAATGCTTATTTAGTTATTTTTAAACTGCCCAAATAAGCTGCCATAGCGAACTGTAAAATTATTAACTGAAAAGAGATTCTCTAGAATAAATTCAAAACTGAATCAGCAATTACTGTTGCTGAATTTCTGCTGTACTGCATTCTCCATTCTAAAAGTATTTCTCAAATATACATTTTTTTTTTATTTTGGCTAAGAAAAAAAGGCATCCTTCATAAAAATTAATATTTGGTAAATCTGAGAACAAGTAGAGAGTTACCTTCTGCCAATCGTTGTTTCCACCCTTGTGCTGCATATGCAAAGAATTCATTATTTAGAGCGGAACTACTGAGGCGCAAAACTCCATCACTTCCCATCTAGAAAATAAGCCGATGGTAGCAGAAGACACTGTCAGAAATAGCTTCAACTAAGATTACATAAGAATAGAGTTCCAATTAAGGGGAATGGGAAGGGATAGGAAGTGGGAATAACAAAGGAAATCAACTACTAGTATTAAAACAGCATTTTCATTATAGTCATTACTGTAAATGCAAGTGGCCTAATCCAGCATCGATGTGCCTACTTCAAAAATCATCAGTATTACTGATGATCACACATTTTACAACTGATTGATGTGGTTTAAATCACAGCCATATACCTTGAGCTTAATATGCCTAGAATTGTTGTACACAAAATCCAGATCATTATTGTACTTCCTGGAATATAGTACAGAACAAATTAATTAAATGTAATGAAGGCAGTAACTTTAGCATATTTCTCTGTGCTGAAGAAACCTAGTTCCCATGACATCTAATATTCCCTACTTGCTGAAAGAAGGGTGGAGAAAAACAATTTTCCTTAACAAAAACATAAAAAGAAAGAAAAAAAACGAGTATAACATTATCAATAAAAACAAAAGCAGCAAAAACCCTGTAAATGCAATTTTACAGGCAGCAAAAGGGTGAAAATGGTGGGTGTGCTAAAATAGTAATTATTTTTACTTTCTACATATGTAAAACACAGTTATTATGAAAATATTATTTGAACTACCTCATCTGCAATAAGTGATTAAAACAAGTCTAGTATTGAATCTCTTTTTATGGCATACTGGACACATTTTGTTTTTCCATTTCATGTGTGCATGTTGAAATACTGTAGATAACAATTTATCAACTAAGCAAATCAATAAATAAAATGCATTACAGGTCACATCACATCTATAATAATTTTCCTGTAACAGCAGCAACAACAACAAAAAAGATAAAAACACCAGACAGAAAGGGCTTTAGTAGGAGCCAATTTGTTCAGGTCAAAGGTACCTAGTGCTCAGTATAGTTCATTATACATCCTTTGAGGTTGCTAAGAGATAAACGTTTGACTGCTTTCTCTGTCATCTGCTAGTGCAAAGCGTCACAATTCTCAGCATGCCAGCACACTAATTTTAACTATGAACCTAACTCCAACTGCTCTCCTCCATCCCAGATCTGGAAATAGAGAAGGGAGCAGATGTCACAGCCACATTTAATAATATTTAACTATATCTACCTAGTTATTTTCCTGATTTACAACTAATGCTGCTCTCACTCTCCAGCAGTTTTATAAATTTAATCACTTCACAGCTGATTAATAACCCATAATACTCTGTTTTATGAACTAAAGAACACAAGAGTAAGTTTTAAAATACAAAGTAGTGAAAACAGGAAGACTGATCAAGGTAGAGTCTGGGAGCTGGGTGCCTCAATCCTGAAAGGAAAACTATAAAGGACCACCACTGACTTCAGTGGGGCTCAGTGAGGACATGTGTCTGTCTGGGTGGTTCTCCTTGCAGGGCTGGGGCCTTAAGCTGCTTCTCTTTTTTGTCTGAACACAGCAATGGCATTTCCGTGCAAAGTCAATACAACAGAAGCAGTTGCTGGCAAGTAATATGCTATTTCCTTTTCTGCTCCAAAGCTTAATGTACTGTTGCTGCATACCTCCTACACCCCACAAACGTAAAGGGACCAAGGGTCTGAGTCATGCATTACTTTGATCAGCTCAAGGGTCTAGCATAAAGCAAAGTGGAGATTCTAAAGAGAGAAGATGATTACATCCAAGAAAGAGGAACTGATAAAGAAGGTGAGAATTTAGTTTCTATATACTACTACAGAGATACATTTAGATGACCAAATATATCCATGGTTCTCAAACTTTAGTACTGGTGACCCCTTTCACATAGCAAGCCTCTGAGTGTGACCCCCCCCCTTATAAATTAAAAACACTTTTTAATATATTTAACACCATTATAAATGCTGGATGCAAAGCAGGTCTTGGGGTGGAGACTGACAGCTCGCCACCCCCCATGTAATAACCTTGTGACCCCTTGAAGGGTCCCGACCCCCAGTTTGAGAATCCCTGAAATATATGTTGCAGAAATTCTTTGGGTAAAGATGCAAGGAATGAAAAACAAAGCAGAAATGACTGTGGACACCACTTAGAGATCACGAGGACAGGAGAGAGAACAAAAAATTCCTAGACTAGTTTCTCAGGCTCCAGTGCCAATGGGAGATTTTAACAAACATCTGCTGGGTAAAAAAAATATAACCCTAAAACATTAAACAAGCAGTTCCTAAATTACACAGAAAACAATTTAATGATCCAGAAAGCGAAACCACTCCAACTAGAGGAGAAGATGCCCATGATTTATTATTTTTAACTAATCTGAAGGAACTGTTTGAGAATGAAAGAACAATAGGGAAGCACTGAACCAGTGACCACTATCTAGACTCACTTTATTAAGGAATGGAATGACATAACGCAGGAGTAACAGATATGAGGTAAGCCAATTTTGGGGGTTTGAGAAATCTACTAAAGTGCAATATGGTTAAGCACTATAGTCCACTGCTGTGGTTAAAGGCTGTAGAATCCTAAGAGACAGCAAGTCAGATCCTGAGCTGGTGTTAATCAGCATAGCTCCACTGTGGAGTTACACCAATTCACATCAACTGAGGATCTGGCCCAAAATAATTAAGGCACAGCAGTCAAAATTTCTTTTGAAAAAGAATACAAGAAATAAGAATTGGCCAGCTTCTGTGACCTTATAAAATACACTCAAAAGTTTGAGGTTAAAGAAAATCTGTACTGAGAACAGAAAAGGAAGAACAGACTCAATCAGTGAAAGCTTTAAAGGAAAAGGAGGATGGCAGAAAAGCAGAGTGAGTTAATGATAACCAAAGAGGTTGAGGTGAATAAGAGAGGCTAAACTAATAAGAAGTAAAAAATAGCTGACATGTTAAACTCCTTTTTAAATCTGTATTCAAGAGGAAAAATAGAGAAGTCTGAAAACTTTAAAAAAAGAAGCAAGATCTTGTAAAACTAGCTATTGAAAAAGAACAAAGATAATGGAATACTTGAAAAATTTGAACACACGGTGTGCAGATCATCTGATCTAATGATACAAAACCTATAGCATAAAGGAAATGCGTTAAACAAATTTACTGCACCCAGAAGCTACTGAAAAATTATACACAAAGATTTCATATAGTTCAAGGCCAGAGGGGATCATTAGAAAATCTTCTAGTCTGACCTCTGTGTAATCACAAGCCATTAAATTTCACCCACAATCCCGTGTTGAACCAGTAAATTGGGTTAGACTAAAGCATTTCAGTCCTCAGAGATTAAACTGCTACATGCCACAGGCAGAAAACAGGGGAGACCAAGGTGCCAACAATGCCTGATGTCCCTGGAATGGCAGGGAATTGATAAGAGACACTCAGGTGTTCCTAGCAGGTTCTCTCTACTCCATACCACAGAGAAAGGCAAAAATTCCCAAGGTCCTTGCCAATCTGACCTGCAGGAAAATTCCTTCCTGAACACAAATCTAGCGATCAGCTATGCCCTGAGCATATGAGCAAGATACACCAGCCAACCATTTCAGAAAGAGGATTCTTTATATCATCTCAAACACTGGTCCACCCAGTCTGGGATCCTATCTCCAGCTGTGGCCATTCTTGATAATTCTGAGGAAGGCAAAAAACAAACAAACAAAAAACAAAAAACCCCAACCACCATACACACCAAAATGCAGTCGGTCAATTGTTCATCCACGGGAAAAAATATTCTTCCTGACCCCAGTTGGCAGCCAGCTGAAGCCCTGAAGCATGAGATTTGTTTATAGTGATTGTCTTAATGCAGATCTGAAAATGGCATGAGCATGATGAGAGCAATGCATAGCTTCCTATTCTCTCCATGGACCATGAAGTGAGAGAATATAAACCAGACTCAAAGACTCTAAGGCTAGGAGGGAACATCACAACCACCCAACCTGACCCTTGTGCACACAGGCCTTAGATTTTTTCCCCCAGAAGCTGGATTAAAACAATCTTTTAAAAAGATATATAAACTTGTCTTAAAGACACTTAGAGCTGGTGAGTCCACCACCTATCCTGGTAAGCTGTTCCAATGTTTAATACCCTCAATATTAGGAAACTGCATCTTATTTCAAGGTTGAAATTCTAACTTCTAACCATTGAATCTAATTATGCTGAAACATTTACTCCCGGGGGAATTCTGTGCCACTGTGCATGCGCAGAATGTATGTCCCCTGAAGATTTCTTTGCTTCCCCACAGAAAAATGACTTTCTGACAGGGAAGCAAAGTGAAGCCACAGAAGTGGTCATGCGACCCTCCCCAGCAGTATGTTTTGGGTGCCCAGGGCAGCCAGCAGAGAGGTAAATCACCGTGGGACAGGGGGAGTGACTGGGGAAGACCTGGCTGGTGGTTCCTACCCTGCGCCGGGCAGGGCTGCTAGTCCCAGCTGGGCTGGGGAGACTGGGACTTCCTCTTCCCCTGCACAGCATTCAGGGCTGTGTCAGACCCACGCCCAGATTTCTCCCCCGGCTGTAGGAAGCTCTGCAAACTCCGCCCCCCACGCTTTCTGCACCCCTTGCTTCTCCACCCAACCCCCATGCATCCAGACCCCCTCATACCCAGACCCACTGAGCCTCACCCCGCTGCACCAGAACCCTCCCCCCCGAGCCCCACTCCCCCAGCATCTGGACCCACCACTAAGCCCCCCACACCCAGACCCCCTGCCAAGCTCTATCCCCCCAAACCCAGACACCGCCCACTACTGAGCCCCAACCACTTTCACCTGGACCCCCTGCACAGTCCATTGTAGGGACGCATAGCTCCCGAATCCTAGCCCACAGGTGCGGCACACTGTGTCTGTGGCTATGAGGCAGGAGTGGCCTTCACCCCAGCGTCTGTGATTAGGAAACTTATTGGCTGACTTGATCATCACCCTCGCAGCTTGCTTTCACGTGCACAAGATATGGGTTTGTTATCTTATGTTGTTGTACACTGTACACTCCTCCTATGCGCAAGAATTTAACCACTTAGA